CGCCGTTGCATCCCCTCCTTCACCTTCAATCCCGGGATCTGCTATCCCATCTGCGGCCCGCGACCAGCTCGGAAGGGTGTCAGGAGCAAGATGGGAGGGAGATCAGCATCTTCCTCCTTGCTGATCTCCCTCCGTAGTGTGAATGCGGCAATGATGTGTATTATATCACTTCCGCATTCACCTGTCAGTCATCTGGCTGCTATAGCCAGAGAAAAGAAGCTGATGAAGCAGATCTCTGCTTCATCAGCTTCTTTGGGGGTCCCCAGGTGACATTAGGGGTCTCAGAGACCCCTAATGTCTCCATATAGAGGACCTGTCAGTGTGCCTTTGCTATTATATAGGGGGATTGTTATCCCCTATGTGATAGCAATAACAATAAGTGTAAAAAAAAAGTTTTAAAAAAAATGAGTCACATATAAAAAAGTAAAAAAGCCCCCAAAAATCTTTAAAGGAGAACTATGAGGTGAGTGCTTTTCACTCACCTCATAGTTCTAGCCGACCTGTGACAATGAGACTGTCACACGTCGGCTTAGTAGATCGGGAGGTGAGCGAACACGAGCTACAGCTCGCGGTATATTGAGCCTAGGGTGACGGGAGGACGCTAGTTTGTGTCCTCCCGTTACCCTAAGGAGAACTATGGGGAAAAGAATCAGGACCACGCTACTTGCAGCGGCCATCTTTAAAAACCTAATATGCAGTGGAGACCCCCGGGGACAACGGTTGCCCGCACAGCACACTTCAGGTGAGGATCTGAAGTGTGCGGGCCCCGGTTTCCTCCGGTGATGCAGGGGCCCGGCCGCCTCCACTAACTGTAGTGCCGTCGGCCGATACTACTGTAAGGTTCACCGGCCCCTGACACGGCCCGGGCCACTTACAGGAGTATCAGTGGTACCCCCTTGATGGCGGCCCTGTCCATAATCATATCTTTCTAAAGTGTTTTTATGTGTAAATGGGTGCTTGTGGGAGATCTTTAGGCTCAACGCCTAGGAGGTAAAGGGTGACACCTGTGACATTGCTGGGACTTACAGTGCCACTGGAATGGTGAGAGCTATATCTAGAGTTAACAAACCTGCTCCCACTAGTGTAGAATACAAGGGAGGGACAATTTCTTAAATTCATACAGTTCACACGGTCTTAGGGGAAACACAAACTTGACCACATACAGTGATTATAATGCTCACTATCATACAGAATGCTCTGAACTGATCACCAGAATGCAGTCACAAAGCCACACAATCATCTGCCCAGGGCAGCCACGGTCTGTAAAGATAACTCAGTTTTACTTGATACAACAAATTAAAAGAAGAAACAATTAACAGTGCAGGATTTATACAACAAAGGTCTGCTTTGTGAAGCCAGGTTACCTTGCAGCTAGACACCCATATGCCACACAAGTCCAAGTTTGCCATACGCCCCACTGCCAAGGTCCGGTGACCGGTCGAGTCCCCCGCCACCATGGTCAGGCAACAGGCAGAGCATCTACCCAGCAGGATGCGACAGTAAATTCCATAAGCCAGCGGATGTCCCAACACGAAGGCAATGGGCACCAGGGTTCTGCAACGTGAACCCCCTAGCTTGGAAGTTAATGCACGTTTATGAGCAGTAGCGCAGTGCACACGATTTATCAATTCACATATTTGTGAATATGAAGGCTGTAATTTCTTACTGCTGCTATATGAATAACCCCTTAGTGTTTTAGAAAGCAGATCCACGCCACAGGGTTGCTGGGATTTTGCATCCCTGTTTCAATGTATGATTTGTTGTGTGTGTTTTTATATATATATATATATATATATATATATGTATATATAAATATATATATATATATCGTGAGGAAAATAAATATTTGATCATCTGCAGATTTTGTAAGTTTCCCCGCTTACGAAGACATGAAAGGTCTGAAATTTTTATCATAGCTGTATTTTAAATGATAGAAACAGAATATCAACCAAAAATCCAGAAACATGATACAAATGTTATCAATTGAGTTGCAGTTCAGTGGGTAAAATAAGTATTTGATCCCCCACCAACCAACAATAATTCTGGCTCCCACAGACTAACTATGTGGTACACAGATTAGTCCTGTCAATTTAGGTAGGTGCTCCTAACAACAACTCATTATGTATATAAAAGACACCTGTCCACGGAATCTTTTTCTTCCATTCAAACCCCACCACTATGAGCAAGACCAAAGAGCTGTCGAAGAACGTTAGGGACAAGATTGTAGACCTGCATAAGGCTGAAATGGGCTATAAGGCTATCAGCAAGAAGCATGGTGAGAAGGAAACAACTGTTGGAGCGATTATTTGCAAATGGAAGGAATACAAAATAACCATCAATCGCCCTTGTTCTGGAGCTCCATGCAAGATTTTGCCTCATTGGGTAAGGATGATCATGATAAAAGTGAGGGATCAGCCCAGAACCACACAGGAGGAGCTTGTGAATGATCTCAAGGCAGTTGGGACCACAGTCAACAAACATTGGTAACACAATATATCGCCATGTATTGAGATCCTGCAGCGCCCGCAAGGTCCCCCTCCTCAAGAAGGCATGTTGTGGAAATTTTACTAGGATGTGTTTTTAGTGTATTGTAATATTTTGTCATTATGTCTCTCCGTGTCAGGGTTTGCTGCGTCACGCTCAATTGGAGCGTGACCCGGTTTAAATCCCCACTAAGAGTAAACCATTGGAGTAGATATCTTATGCGCGGTGGAGCAGTGTCTTCTTGGCGAATGTATGGACGCACGGCTGGGGCCCCCCGTGCAATGCATGGATTTATTGGCTTGCGTGGATACATTTGTTTGGAATGCACTATATGAAAGGAACATGTGTTTGTTGTCTCTAGTGCGCCTGATCAACCGCTGGAGATAATATGACGTTGTGCCTGTAAATAAGCACGCATGAGAATCATTGTAACGTTATTGGGCATTGCTCACTGAGCAATGCTGGATAAAGTTCACTCCGGTGGTAATAGATTATTGTATTAATGTGTTTTGTTAGCTGGCTATGTTGAAGTGATGGTGGGGTGGTTTCCTGTTCACTTCCTGTCTGCCCCACTTCCTGTCTGCCCCCCTTCCTGTCTCGCTGTTTGAGACATCACTTCCTGTTGGGAGCTATAAAACAATAAACAAATGCCTGTGCTCGGGCTCTCTTAGCATGGATCTTGAAGCAAGCAAGATCCTAACTCTACATGACTTAAAAGAGGTACTGCCAGTCCTCGCACAAAAGAGGGTAATACAACTGTGCTTTTAAGCACGGGGGAAATTCTTTGTGTTTGACATTGTGCGTTGAACCAAGCGAATTTCCATAACAGGCACATCTACATCTAAATGATTCAGAGAAGGATTGGGAGAAAGTGCTGTGGTCAGATGAGACCAAAATTGAGCTCTTTGGGGAATTTATTAATTTAGGGGAATTTATCAAAACTGGAGCAGACAAAATCTGGGGCAGATTTGCACTGCAACCAATCAGCTTCCCTGTCTAATTTTCTGAAGAGATGCTGATTGGTTGCCATGGGCAACTGCCCTAGATTCTGTCTAGTCCAGTTTTGATAAATTCCCCCCACTATGCTTTGGGGCTGTGTCCCTGCTGAAGGTACTTTGCCGCATTGAGGGGCCAATGGACGGGGCCATGTATTGTAAAATCTTGGATGAGAACCTCTTTCCCTCAGCCAGAACACTGAAGATGGGTCTTTCAGCATGAGAATGGCCCAAAACATACCGCCAAGGCAACAAAGCAGTGGCTCAACAAGAAGCACATTAAGGTCATGGAGTGGCCTAGCCAGTCTCCAGACCTTAACCCTATAGAAAATGTATGAAGGGAGCTGAAACTTCCAGGGCTATTCACAAAAGGGTGAAGAGTTTGGAGAAGGCAGGAGAAGTGAACAATCTACGCCAAAATAACTGATTTGGAGAAATTCTCCAATTCAGCTCATTTCTAGTTCAGCTCTGATGTCCTAGATTGTTCACTTCTCCTGCCTTCTCCAAACACTTCACCCTTTTGTGAATAACCCTTTTCAAGTTGCCAAGTGACAACCAAGAAACCTTAAGGATTTAGAGAAGATCTGTAAAGAAGAGTGGACCAAAATCCCTCCTGAGATGTGTGCAAACCTGGTAACCAACCACAAGAAACGTCTTACCTCTGTGCGTGCCAACAAGAGTTTCTCCACAAAGTACTAAGTCATGTTTTGCTTGGGGATCAAATACTGATTTTACTCACTGAACTGCAACTCAATTTATAACATTTGTATCATGTTTCTGGGTTTTTGTTTGAAAATACACCTATCATAAAAATTAGAGACCTTTCATTGCTTTGTAAGTGGGCAAACTTACTACTCTGCAGGGGATCAAATAATTATTTTCCACACTGTGTCAATATGATTATATATATATATACAGGTGAAACTTGAATAATTAGAATATTGTGCAAAAGTTACTTTATTTCACTAATGCAACTTAAAAGGTGAAACTAATATATGAGATAATTAAGTTGCTTTAGTGAAATAAATGAACTTGTGCACGATATTCTAATTATTAAAGTTTCACCTGTGTATATATATAGATATAGATATAGATATATATATCTATATCTATATATATATAAATGCACTGATGCCATTTGTTCCAGACCCAGTACCGATACTTGTCCAAGTACTCACAGATACCAATTACTGATACCTTTTTCTTTAGTGTCATGTGACAGTTTTTCTAAAACAATACAGACTAATGATTTCAGGACAGTGGTGAAGCACCAGGGCCCAGCGCAACTGCTGGGCCCTGAAAATGCATGAAAATGCCAAGTATCTGCACTGATACAGATACTGGTATCTGAACATCCTTAATAAATATACAAACCAGCTGTCATAATTTAGAGTGTCAAGCACATTTGTTTTATATGTATCCAATAACGTAAATGGTTCCATTGGCTCAGTTGAGACATAATTAACACAAGATATTTTTTTATTGACTATACTTCACTTAAATGTTTTCTTCTCTTTACAGTGTGATCTGGTATATACATTCTTCCATCCCTTTGCTCGTGATGAGAAGAACGTTAGCAATACTACACAATCAAGACCTTCGGGTAGAGTTTATAGTTATATAATTAGTGATTTAACAGCATTGACTCTTTAACTATGTCCCTTTCAATTGGAAAAAAATAACTTGATATAACTTTAAGTTGTAACTGTATAACAAATGAATTCCTAAAATTAAAATTGTTTAGGTCCAACACTACTATACATCATTCCCCAACATGGCATTTACTGATGATGCCCTCTTCTCTTTCAAACTTCACGTTTGGAAGCACAGAATGAGATTTAAATATCTTCATTTTGTAAATTAAAAGCGTGTCACAAACTTTTAACAACGCATAGGCAAAATTTGTCCCATCATGCATTGGGTTGGCTATACGCCAAGACTATATTCAAAGTAAAGACAAATTTCCACCAATTTAATTAGATATATATCAGACTAGGCCATTGACTAGAAACTGAAATCAGTTTCCTGGAGATTATACAAATGTATATAACAAATGTATATATTTATCTCCCAAGATTGAAAGACATAATTTGTACTGCAGTTAAAAATTATCTCAAATCAATCTAGATCCTACAAGAACTAAATGGTCTATCTGATTATATATATGCGGCTAATCAATTGCCGACAGAAATATAGAAATGTATACTTGTTGGTTGTCTGAAAGAAGTCAGCAGTCACAGTTCAGAAACAAGGGATGGTCAGATTCTCTTTAGTTTAGTTTCCTTGGACAGCCGTCCTCAGCTTCCGACCTATACCCTTAGAATGTATTTCCTTACTGCCTTTTCTTTGTTGGATCTTCCCCTGCTGGCTCCTGCTACAACCTTTATCCCACCATGGAATGTGGGATTGGTTTGGTCTTCCTCATGCTTATTGACGTGACTAATGACGTCAGATATATCAATTTACCATATACCTCTCCCTCACAATCACCACAAGGGGGGCACTATTGTTCTATGTAAAAGTTTGGATCATTTTATTTAATTTTACTATTTTCTAAAGATCTAGTTGAAAGATAACCTCTGACCTAAACTTTGGACAAACCCATAAATATCGTTGGGAGTGTCATTACGTGACAACTTCTTGTCCGACTGACCGTCTCTTCGTCGATTTACAACCTTAAAAAAATCTAAGCCAGGGCACTTAACATTCTTTCTCCAAATACTTTTAAGGTGAGGTAATTACTTCAAGACACATTGGCTTTTCACACATATAAAAAAAATACAGTGGTGTATACCACCTTAATTCCATGTAATTAAAAATATAAAACCCCCATCTTAATAATACACACAAATATATTTCAATGGGTACACTCAAACAATATATAATGAATATAGTTTGGATACTATAAAAGTACATGTAAAAATATTTACTTGAAATTAGTCAATAAAATAGGCATATAGATGCCGCAGATAATATAATAATATAATAACATTATTGCTAATATCACGGCAATGAATAGTAATGTTACATCAGTCAACTTTTAAATAAGCCCCTCTTCTATTCATTGAGAGAAGATAATTTTTTTTTTTAGACATTCCAGTCTCTTGAACAGACTGGAATGTCTATCACGCAGACAAAATGGCTACCCTGATGCCCATATACAAATCAGTAAAATAATATGTATAGGCCTTTGAAATTGATTCCTTTCTGCCCAATAGTTCTGACAGTCCCTTTGGCCATTGGTCATGGATAATGTAACTCCTGTGCATGCACACAGGAAATACATTGACCCCAGTTTCATATTACGATTCAAAAGGATCCATGGCATGCAATATTACATCCTAAAAATGCGCAAATCCAACATTCTCAACAAAGATTGGTGGATTTCATCCTACTAGCTGCTAAACAAACCATCGCCCACTCCTGGAAGAAACAGTCCATACCCTTCGGGGAATGTAAACAGAGCATGCAGGGATTATTCATTAACAAACAACTATCTAGCATACTCACGGATACTTATGCATAATTCCAGAAAATGTGGTCTCCTTGGTATGCTTTTGAGCTTTCTGACCTGAACCCTGACACATTTCAATTAGCATAACACCTCTGGTGCATATTTGCTGTATGCCCTGGGGTAGCCAGCAGCTCTCACAGCAACATCCAGTCAGATCCGGCTTGCTATACAGCCAGGTTCCCGCCCACCCCTCACCATCTGAGCATGTGGAGAGGACTTGCAGGGCTTTTACAAGCTTCCTGGTTTCCATGGCAACATTCTCCAGGGCTGCTGCACACTTTCTGGGGGAATGGAACACTCTGGATACTGCCTTTTCTTTATCGAATGGTAAGCTGATCAGTATACATTATATACACTAGTTTACGGCCAGGGTACTAGTTTACGGCCAGGGTCTGTTGTGGGTTGGTTCAGCATAGCGCAGGCCAGAACCAACGCATGGCATAGTGCAGACGCACTATGCCATGCGTTGGTTCTGGCCTGCGCTATGCTGAGCGTTGGTTCTGGTCTACGCTCTGCTGTGTGTTGGTTCTGGTTTGCGCTCTACTGGGTGACACAGGACCATGACCAGTGCTGCATAGACCGCCGTCTGAAGGCCGCCGTCCAAATTAATTAAACTTTGTGTGATGGAAATACATTAAACCCAGCACCTGGCTCTATTTGTGTTGAGATGTATACCAAAAAGAAAACATAGCTAGGATGCAGGGAAAAAATGTTCTGCAACAGAGACTTTTCATGTCTCTCCTGCCCAAAACATCTAGCTCCTTTAGCTTTTTTTTTCTTAATCTTTAGCTACGCTTTAAAGTACAAGTTTACATTTTAACAAACAAAATCCCTGGGGAGGTTCCCACAACCCCTCAACAAGGCCCACACACGTCAGTAAAGATTTTTGCTAGGTGTTCTTTGTTTGTTTTTTTTTGTTTTGTTTTGTTCTTTAATAAATCGGTTTGTGTTTTTAGATGCAACCTGGTCTGTACCAGTGGGGACTGTTGGAGGAGAGGTCAAGTTATCCATTGCTTATAAAAATGACCAGTTGTTCATTATGGTGATGCATATTCGGGATCTGGTAAATATTTTGTGTGTGCTTTTTGTAAAAAAAATTTAGGTCCACAAACTTTAATGAAGAATTTAGGTATGCAAGAAGAATTAAAAGGTACAGTTTTATTAGAGTGAGTAGAGGGTTTTTAAAAACAAAATTTCATGTTTAGTGCTTTTTTCCTCCTAATTTAAGATGATGTATTCTACATACATTATAGTCTGAAAAAGCAAATGAGCACACCTTTTACACAATTAACTCCATGACGTCCCATCAAGATTAAATGGTTGATTGGGGTAGTTCCTTTTCTAAATGGATATTTATTTATTTTTTCAAATTTTTATTAAAAAAAAATTTAAGAAATGGAAATTATTTTAACAAACAGTAAAAGAGTGTAAGTTACAAATTCAGAAAATATAACATGCATTTTCTGCAAATAGTCAAAGAAATATAACATACACAATTTCCAGTGTAGACAAACAAAAAAGAAAATACTATATAATCAAACAATTCAACCCAATGTAGAAGACGTATACCACACTATCCAAGGTTTCCAGTGTATATCTAATTTGAGTAAGTTAGAATTTCGAAAAGCTATAATTCTTTAATAATTATAATGTAGATGTACCATTTGTAGAACTTGGTATATATCAGTGGAGTCACAGAATTTCCAGTTTCTCGCCACCATCATTTGAGCTATTAGAAACACATGTGCAACTATTATGCGAAAGGGATGAGGAACATTATCTATTCCCAAATTCCATAAAGCTAAGGCAGGGTCAGGTCGAATCACCACCCCTTTAATCTTAGATATTCTTAAAAAGATTTAGGACCAAAAAGGGGAAGTTTGTTACAAGACCAAGTCCATGTCAGCTAAAATTTATAGAATTTCATAAGATCTTGTTTCAGGAGCTGTGGAGCGGAGCACTTTGATTATGCTGCCATATTGTTTGTGCGGCAGCCAAGCCCCCCTAAATTGATATTTTAAAACGCTCTTGTTTGCCATGTTAGACCGCGCACAATCACAGCAAAATCTAAAGTACTAATCAGAGTGGCTCTCTGTCATGTGGTCACTGTTAACCAATCACAGTAATAAACACTGTGGGGGCTGGTTTTATTATCACTGGCACAAAAAATAATAAAGAACAAAAATGTATACCAATACAGAGCAAGAGAATCATGATTCCTTAGGCACTAATGCGTATTTGTTTACATGGATTTATGACTTGGTTACAATAGACTGCAGATAAAAGGAATTAAATAAATTAAGCTTATGTCACTTTTGACACCTGTTGACAGCAATCTAATCAATCAATTAAACAAGGACCTACCCTAGCAGTGGAAGGATCCTTTAAAGTCAATCTACCCATTCTGACACAGTTTGACAGATTAAAATGACTGCCAACATAGGACACAGGACCACAACAGTCAATTAAAACTGGGATTTGAGGAGCAACTCTGTCAATGAAATCCCAAAAGTGAGTACATCTTCAACCCATTTAGTGGTATTTCTGTTAAACTGAATCACTGGTGCATCTACAGTTGGAGCTGTCATCTATTACATTCCCTTTCAATATGGAAAAGTTTGATTTAAGGACTTAGGGGGGTCAGAACCAGACTCTGCAGGGGTTGGCACCAGTTCACGTTTAGAGCCTCTGCAGGCAGAGTGCCCCTTTAGGCCCCTCTAATTAACTGCTAGGAAGCCCAAAGTGGACGTGGAGATTCCCGTGAAAATAGGGGAGCTTGGTCGCACCTTGCAGGACTGAGGTAGACTCTGATAATGACAACCCTATAACAATATGGGTCCCAGGTTCTGGATTACAGACATCGGTTTACCAGTCCTGCGGTATCTGGGTACAGCCTCCAAAGCTAATGCTGTGGAAACACTGATCCAGATAACCGCTATGGAAAAGCCAGCTCAAGTAGTAATATCACGAGGAATGCTTGCTTTCCACAAAGCAAGGAAAGCTAGCAAAAATATATACTTTTTAGCCAGAGCTGAAGAAAAGGCCCCTTAGGAGACTAGCAAAAATCTGAGACATGCAGAGTAGAGGTGAGATGTATGGGGGCTGACTTACAACTTTTTTTTGAAAGTGTCCTAAGCTCCTAAAGGTGTTAGTATAACCTCACTGTTTATGAATACAGGAATTATCCCAATGTACAAGAAATACAATTTTTTTTGCTGTTCATGGATAGAGTAGTTAAGGATTAGAACCTCTATCAGGTTTTAATTGCTGTTTCTGTTTCTACTGGGTAGAATTACTCTCTTTGTGCTTTTAAACATTGTCATTGAGATAGAAAGTGATGGGAAATCCAAAATTGTTTTGCCTCCAGAAAAGGAACTGCGGTGAAACCTTTTAATAGGGACACTTGTTCTGATGATGGCTGTCTCACTTTAAAAATATATTCATTTACTTCCTGTTGTGTTTCAAAGGCAAAGTGAAAGAGTAAGGAAAGTTCCCCGATAAGACACCTGCAGCAAATAAACTAACATGAGCCGTATGTATTCCTTTCTCTAATTAAAACTAAAAAGCATAGTCTCCGTTATATACATAGTCTCCGTACATACACTTTAATTTACTATACATTTTTCCTGGCTTGAATTTATTTGGACATGTTACTTAATTTTTGTGCTTGATCAGCTTCAGTGGAGTCGAAATATCACATTACGGGTTTATCAGCCCCCTGTGTAATAGCAACAAGTTAAAAAAAAAAAAAAAACCCACACACATATGCACTAGTATGTCAGGTTTGCCTAAGTGTGAAAATTATAATTAGGCTACACATGTTGCATATCGCTGCAGACGCTGTACCCGCAATGAGAGCAATAATTCTAGAGCCATTATATATGGATGATGACCTGTAAAGGGTTTAAAAGCATTATCTATGGAAAATTTGGGGTACAAAAGTTTGTCGCAGTTTCATGGGTCTGCACGGTTTTCTTTTTTTTTTTAATTAGATACTTTTTATTTTTATATATTTTCCTCCAACAAACATCCCACAAAAAGAACATAAAAAAGGAAAAATACATAACAATTCAAACAATACACAAATACATACAGGCTGACATATACAGTAAACACAAAAACAAATACATCTACCACCATATATACAATTTAAAAAAAAATTAGATTGTTATCTAATCACCTAAAAACATATATACCTATAGAGCACAGCTAAAGTACTCCAATTACTGCTTATGCTCTCATAAACTTCCCTCATATGTCTAACTAACAATATTATAGAATAATACACACATTCCTTTGTTGTGTACGGTATTGTATCCATCTAGACCAGCGGTTGCCAACTGGTGGTCCACAAGAACATTTTGGTGGTCTCCAGGCTCCTCTGATGCCGTGCAGGATGGGCCATCATTGAAACGGCATGGAGGCTCCGGGCTGCCTCTCACTGACTCAAGCAGCGGCTGTCGCAAGGAATGCGCAGCTCTCATTACAGTGCGGGCTCTGCAGGAGGCGGGGCATCTCATCAGTACTCGGACTGAGCAGGCTGCAGGACATAGAAAAAGTGAGGAGAAGCCAGGTAATAGTGGCTCAGTGTGGGGGAAGGGAAGGCACGGGGGTGGTTTGGGGCAGTGTTGAAGCTAGGGGGGGCATGTGCCCCGGGTGCCGCCGGCAGATTCAATAGGGGTGAAACAATTAATATTATTACTGGGCCGGGACGGACTGATTCAGTGAATCAGCAGAGAGGATAGAGAACTTTGTCTTCAGGTCCCTCCTTTGCTGATTGACAGCAGGCAATGGGCGGGTACAATAGCCAGCCTGCTATTGGCTATTACAATTTAAAATATCCAATAGCAGGCTGGCTATTGTTACAAGTGTCATATCTCAAAGTGTCAGCTGTCCGTGCTCCTTATGTGTTTAATAATGCCCGCACCAGACGTACACAGAAGTTTTCACTCTCAATGAAAGATGAGAAGGTCCATTATGTGTGAAGGCAAGATTTAAAGCTTTTCTCCTCTCCTCCCCCGTGAACATACAGAACGGACATTCTCTTCTTTCAATGAGAGTGAAAAGTTTATGTACGTCGGGTGAATACATTACAAATAAGGAGCACGGACATCTCACACATTGTAATATATCACCAAAAGCAAACAGTTTCATCAAGTTGAAAAGGAGTAGACACGGAAATTTCTCTGATTACTGCCACACCTGTTCGCAATCAAGAAATCACTTAAATAAGACTTGACTGACAAAGTGAAGTAGACCAACAGATCCTCAAAAGCTACACATCATGCCGAGATCCAAAGAAATCCAGGAAGAAATGAGAATGAAAGTAATTAAGATTTATCAGTCTGGAAAAGGTTAAAAAGCCATTTCTAAAGCTTTGGGACTCCGGGGGGCGTGGCGAGCCGCTGAGTAAGATGGCCGCGGTTTGACAGGGCTCCGCAACACCCGGTCCCCCGAGAGCTACAATAAGCTATTAATCTCACCTTGAGTGACACCGGGACATTGGGCATTACTCCCCGATCTCCTACATCTCCGGTGGCGGCGATATGCGGCAGAGCAGACGGCAGAAGGACGTACGGAAGGCACAGCCCCAGAAACGAGGTACTCCCAAGATGGCGGCCGCACGAGCAGCACCGAAGCAGGCTGCCTCGTCGCCCCTACTATCTGACGCGCACGATTCCTCATCAATGGACAGCCTCCCTATAACCCAGGGTGATGATCAGGTGGACTCCAGAGATGCAGCACTGTTAGAGAAATTTCGTGCCATGCTGCACTCTGAGCTAACAGCGGTCTCTGACAAGCTGAATGAGACCATAACCAGGGAGCTTATGGATCTGGGTGCCCGTACTGACCAGTTGGAAAAAAAGGTGGATGACGTTATAAAGGTGATGGAATCTTATGAGCATGATCTGGACACTGTCAATACTGACCTCATTGCCATTATGGACAAAGTGGAAGATATGGAGAACAGGGCAAGGCGCGGGAACCTCCGCTTTTCGAGGCCCACCTGAATCCGTAGAGGACCTGCAATCTACAATCACGGCCCTCCTGCAAGAGCTCATA